CCCCCCCCCCGGCCCCCCCCCGGGGGCCGCCCTCGGGCCGCCACACGGACGGCTTCTCCTTTGCCACCGTGGTCACCTACACGTGCGACCCCGGGCAGCCGCTCGCGGGGGAGGCCTCCATCTTCTGCACCACGCAGGACGGGCTGCACGGCGTGTGGAGCGGGCCGCCGCCGCGCTGCGGAGGTAGGGGCCTCGCTGCTGGGCCTGCTCCTTGTCCTGCACAGAAAGGAGCACCCAGAACCTCTCGCTCCCCGGCCCAGAACTCTGCAGAATCCAGCTGGATGGGGTACAAGCTGACACCCGTCCACGCTGCCTGTATTTCCTCCTCGCAGGGCTCCTGTGTCCCTCCCCACTGGATATAGACAACGGTCAGCATGACGGCAAGGATGTGCGAGTCTTCCAGCCTGGGAAGTCTGTGAATTACAGCTGCGAGCCGGGATACTCCCTTGTTGGGGACGCCACTCTCTACTGCACCGAGAATGGAACCTGGGGCCTCCCTTACCCTCAATGCGCAGGTGAGCTTTGAGTGTGGGATGTCACCGCACCCAAGTGACACCCGTGCGTCTGCGCTTGCTGTGGCACACGCGGTGCCCCGTGCGGTGCCCCGTGCGGTGCCAACGTGCATTCTGTAGCATTCGTAATGTTTCTGCACGCCACCGGATCCGTGCTCTCTGTCAGCTGGATTTGTGCTCCCCCTTTAGCGCTGCAATGCCCTTCGCCTCCAGACATTGACAATGGAAAGCATAACGGCCAGGGCTTGGAAGTGTTCACACCTGGGATGGCTGTAAATTACAGCTGTGACCCTGGCTACTCCCTAATGGGAGAGGAATCCATTTATTGTACAGATGCTGGAAACTGGAGCCTCCCTCTTCCTCAGTGCGAAGGTACCTCTCTTTACAGAGCGTTACGGATAGTTGGGTCTTCCTGTCTTTGAGAGCTCCTAAGACCTGCCCTCTCCTCACTCAAAATGTTGTATTGTCCCTCACTCCTTCCTTTTTGTTGTCTGTTGAGCCTTTACGTTTTTATCTCTGTGTGCATTTTAAAACAATTGTTTTAGGTGATAGATATGCCCCAATTTTCCTCTATTTTCTTTCTCACCAGGTGGCTGTGCTGCCCCTCCAGACTTACCCTTTGCTCAGCTAACTGAGGAATATAAAACCCAGAGAGAGTTTTCTGTCGGGGACACTGTGAAGTACACCTGCCAGCCTGGATACATGCGATACCCTGGAATACCCCCAACAGTAACATGCCTCAAAAATCAGACGTGGTCTGAAGCACTAGAGTTTTGTAAAAGTGAATAGCTCCATCAGTTTGATGTTGTTTGTTTTTTTGAAAACTGTATAAACTATATTTGTGGGTTTCTTAAAGCAGTTATTTGAAAAAAGATTCATACATGGCTTTACTAGTCACATAGTTTTGACAATTATTGACCCTTTAAAACTCCTTTCTTTATGGTGACAGCATGTGGACAGATCTTTAAGATAACATTTCTCAAAATGCAGCACAAAATTGAGAGGAGTTTAAGATCAGCCTTGTTCTCTCCCAGGGAAACGGTGCAAATATCCAGAAGCACCACAGAATGGCAGAGTTGTCATTCTGACAGACCTCCGCGTCGGGTCGGCGGTGAACCACACGTGTGAGGCCGGGTGAGTCCCGCTGCCTTCGCTGACACTATTTCCTGAGCTCGCTCTGAACAGCTTGCAGGGAAGGATCCCAGCTCCTCTGTGCACGTTGCTTTCTCATAGCAAGCCAGAACTTGTGTTTTGGTTCCAGTTATATCTCAGTTGCCTGCTCAGGAAAGGGGAAATCCCTCCTCGTTTCCCAGCCTGTGCTTCATGAACTACTTTGCAAACTTCAGTTTCAGTCTGACTTCTCAGATTGGAGCTGAGCAAACGCCTGCAGAGGAGGCTCCAGCACTTCTTGCATCCTTCGGGTTTGAGTACTACTGTAGCACGTGGCCAGTGTCATCTGGAGTAATTTGTGATCATTTTTGTTCCTTGTGGGTCCAGGGCGAGGGAACTTTGTGTCCTTTATTCCCACAGGTGGACTCAGCAGACACCCATGGGTGACAAGCCAGGATCGGGAGGCTGCAGAAGGAAACCTCGGGGGGTTGTGGTGGTGGGAGTGCACGGTGCAACTGACTGACTTGGTATCAACTGATGTTTCCCTCTGTGCCCTTCCAGGCACGAGCTGGTTGGACCGTCTCAGAGGCGCTGTGAGGTTGTTGGAATGCATGTTGGCTGGAGTGGTGCTCCTCCTGTTTGCCAGAGTAAGTAGGTCATGTCTAGTATTGGCCCAAAATAGTTAAATAAAGTTCTTAAGAACTTTACTTAAGCACAATGGCATTAAAAAAAAAAAAAAAAAAGTCTTGAGGAATAAGACTTTTTAAGCATAATATTGCCTTAGGATATTTTTGTTTTGTTCGCTTGTTTTATTTCTTCTAAAAATACCCCAGATATTGATCTTTCAGAGTTATATCTGAAGAAAAGCCACATCCCAACAGGGACCCGTCTCTTTTGTTTCACAGCAGTAATTAATTCTTCTGTGTGTCTCTGAGTGCTACCTGGGAAAACAGCCCCGGGAAGCTCCCGGGGGAGCAGTGCCTCCCCATCTGAAGTAATGAATTTCTTTTTCAGAGGTGACATGCCCAATCCCGAAGATCCAGAATGGGAGAATATCCATTCAGAAAAAGAGCTACGCATATGAAGATACTGTTAGCTTTAAGTGCCACGAAGGCTTCACCCTGCAAGGCCATCACACAGCTCGATGCAGAGCCGACAGAACATGGGAGCCGCCTGTGCCAGTCTGCCAGCAGGGTAAGTGCCACCCTGCCGACCTGGTCGCGTTGCTCTTTCCTTCCTCCCCACTCCCAGGAACTCATGGAAGCTGAATTTGCCTCTATCTGTCCTGCTTGCCCCTCTTGTCAAATCAAGGTACTTAACTGACTACCTCATGGCAAAACAAAAAACTGTTCCTTTCCTTTATTACTCTTCTTGCAACCAGGTTGAAGGCAGTGTCATAAATATCAATGTCCATAATCCATGTTCCCTTCACTCTCTGAAAGAAAGAAATTTGATTGGTTCAGGGCAGGAACTGACTATCACAGAAAGTGAAAATTATCCTAAAACATAAAGGAGAAAATGAAAGTAAAATTGTACATGGCAGTGTTCTGCAAATGTGTATTTTAAACTCTTAATGCTGTATCTAGGTGGAATGACAAAACACCATCAGCAGCCTTTTGAAACCTCAACAAGGCCAGGTAGGTCTATCATAAGAAAAGACAAAACTTGTCAAATAATCTACCTCTTGCCCTGCTTCTTGCAGGGAAGAAGAGTATTGCGCCGCTCTACTCCTTTGCTATCCCTCTTTCCGGAGATGAGCACCACCTCCTCATCTTTTCCCTCTCCTTTTCCAGGGGTGCAGTGCCTGCCTCCCCCAGGCATTGCTAACGGGGAGCACAGCAGCCCTTCCTTGGACATGTTTGGCATAGGAGCACTTGTGCACTACAGCTGCAAGCCTGGCTTCTTCCTAATCGGGAATGCATCTATCCGCTGTACAGCACATGGAATCTGGAGTCGTCCTCCACCTCGGTGCGAAGGTGTGTTCATGCTCTTACTAATTCTTCTCGACTTCCTAAGCATGGTAGGCATGCAGTAATACTTGGCTGAGGACCATCTGAGATAAGCTGGTGCTTGAATAGACTCCACCCTTGCAGAAGGAGAGAAGACTGTGGCCAAACATCCTCCTCGTGACCTTGCTGTTCAGGATCTAACGGGTTCTTTATGCTCTTACTGTCCACAGCTGGCTGTGCAAACCCAGGAGTTGAGAATGAAGAAGTAACTGGATTTGAGTCTGTCTATAAACCTGGAGACATCGTTAGGGTCGAATGCAAAAGTGACAGTGGCCCCAAAGGCCTTCACGAGTCCCAGTGCCAGGCTGGAGGTACCTGGGATCCACCACTCCCCATCTGTGAAAGAAGTAAGCAGGCACGAGCCTTGGGTGACTGTCCTGTTTCAGATGGCTGTCCTTTCTAGACCTAGTGCTCATGGTAACGTGTGGCAGGATGTAGAGAAGTCCTTAGCCTAGTGTTTATATCTGCAGAGAAAGCAGTTATCAGCCTGGCCCCGTTTTTTTTTTTTTTTCTCCCACTCTTATCTCTGTAATATTTGTTGACTCAGTTTCTCAGAATTAACTTCTTATAACCAAGCTCAGGCCACCAACGTTAGCTCCACCAACGATAAGAAACCTGTAGGGGTGTTGTAAGAAGATGGTCTCACAAGTGTGGAATTATAAATATGAACAATCTACTCTCCTATCTCACGTACCAGGAATGATGGTGCTGGGCAGTGTTTCACTGTGTAAGAGGAAAGCTAACTGATCCCACACACGTTACGGCTGCTTGTGCTGAGATCAGCTCGGGCAGGGCTGGCTCTGCACTGGTGCCATTGCTGTGGCAGGGAGATTACAGCCAAATGTTCATGCTGGAAGTTTCCTCTCGGGTCTCTATGAGCTCCACTTTAATTAGCACTTCTCTCTCGCCAGCCCTGCGCTGTCCCCAGCCTCCGGAGGTTGCCCACGGGTGGCACAGCGGCCTGGCAACGGCGGCGTTCGCCCCCGGGACGGCAGTGCGGTACCGCTGCGAGCCCGGCTTCGTGCTGGCCGGGGCAGCCTCCATCTCCTGCACGGAGGCCGGCGCCTGGAGCCGGCCCCCGCCGCTCTGCCAAGGTGCATGTGCGTCTGGAACGGCGCCAGGCGGGAAGGACGCGGCCGTCCTGCCGGGGAGGTTATGTAGAGACGAAATCCGCATCGTGTGCTCCAGAATGTGATTTGAGAGCAATACCAAATTTATACCCTTTCCCGAAGCACACTGGAGTTACAAGGCTACAAGAGCAGTTTTGAGAGCTAGGGGAGGATATTACAGGATATTAAACAGGCCACAAACGTGCGTTGCCATTGCTGTTCTCTGGCAACCCCTAATTTCAATGTTGTCTTGTTTGTCTCCCCCAACTTTTCAGTTGTCGGGTGCCTCCATCCTCCAAACATCACCAATGGGAAGCTCGTAGGCCACCTCTCTGACACTTTTCCCTATGGAGCATCCGTGTCCTACAGCTGTAATCCCGGTTATTCACTCATTGGGAATGCTTCCACCAGCTGCATGGCGTCTGGAGCTTGGGAGCCTCTTCCTTGGTGTGAAGGTCTGTTCGTGCTCTCCTTGCTTGAGGTGGCAGCCAATGGCTACGCATTTTTCTTCAGGGAATGAAATTCCTAAGGGAAAAAAAAATCCTACATGGGCAAAAATCCATGTACTAAAAACATGAGCACTTACTAACACTGAATTTCATCCCCTTATTTTGCTGGAGAAGCGCTTCCATTTCATAGCTAGATAATGTTAACCTGTTAATTATGAATTTATCCGCTGATATCCTTGTGAGGAGTAGGACATCGTAAAGGAGGAGGATGGGGATCTCAAACTAACAGTAAAAAGGCTATGAGTACGGCAGGAGGCAATTCTGGAAGACTGTTTGAATTCTTGTTTGTGTTTGCATTTCTGCTCTTGTTGCTATGAATGAACCGTATAGCGTTTCCTCCAGGTAAGCGAACCCTCTAAGAGCTTTTTTTTCTTTACTGCTAAAAACTTTTTCCCTTCCCTTCGCTTCTTTTGCATCTCTCCCCAAGTATGACTAACAGGAGAAACAAAGACAGTGATTACATCGAGATTTTTTCTTAGTGGATTGACTGTAAATTGGACGTGAGCCTGTTTCCTTACTGGAAAAGCTGCTCTGACTTGGCGCTTCCTCATGGCTCCTTGTGAAGGTCGGTTCTTCAGGCAGATCGGACCACAGGCCATCTCATGAATGTGAGAAGATTCCTAGTATGGGTGTTTCTGCACTAAAAACTGGACTATTTGCTGGAATAAATTCATTGCCAGAATATGTCATTTCCTTTGGTAGAGCTGCACCCACCCACCTCAGTGACTCAGGAATTGAAACACACCTGGACAACAATAAGAGGAAATAACATATGAAATGTTTATATAAATGAAGTCACAGACTCTTTATTTAAAGTGGTCTCACAGAAAAAACTCTTCCTGTCATGCCACATGCTCATAGTTTTGCAGTGTCCTTAGCAACTATTAGCTGGGATGGTTTTAAAAGAATTAAGTAAACTGTAAAACAAAACAGTGCAAAAATTGCACACAAAATCCTGATGTTACCCCTTTGGCTTCCACTGAGAATACTCTCCAGAACTCTTGGGTTTGGATTATCCAGTGTGATTAGTTACCTAAATGGAAATAACTAGCTCACTTTCACTGCAAGGTGCCTCTCCGACAGGCTTCTCCCAAGGTACCGGTCCCTGAGGCCTCAACGCAGCACGGAGTTGTAAGAAAAACATTGTCAGAAAATCAGCCCACAGACAGCAGCCATCAGTTCATCATTACACACTCACTTCTACAGCCCCAAGGAAGCAAAATACACTCTGGAATAAGAATTATTTCCATGTTACTTTCAGAAACAATTCAAGAATAATGCCTAAAACACCTGCAATTGTACACCTCATATCTTATATTCCCTCCCATTAAACATCTTTGTTCTGTTTTATTTAATTTCAGAGATCAGATGTGCATTCCCAGATATTCCAGGTGTTAAGAAAACCACGACGGGAAATACATTTCCACTGGGGACTAACATCACTGTGGAATGTGACGATGGTTACACACTGCAAGGCATCACCCAGACTCAGTGCCAGGAGGACTCCAGCTGGGACCCTCCCGTTCCAGCCTGCAAACTCGGTGAGTGCAACGCAAAAGAAGGGAAGTTCAGGCAAGTTCATCTATTCCGCGCTGTACTGTCCTTACAGACTCGCAGTCATTAGCTACAGGCGGAACACCAACAGGAGGAGGCACAAATTCCATTTCTGTTGCTTTTATCAGTCATGGAGGGGTGCTGACTATTAGAATTTGATGCAGTTCAACTAATATATATTACTATAAGGCAGAAATATTTATTTTCCCTCTGGAGAATATTCACCAGTCACTATTTAGCTCAATACGGATAATTAATCAGCTACAGCTGCTAAAGGATATCCTGTATTCTAGGTTTTGGCAGTAAAAGCCTAAGATTAAGTTTAATAAAGTGGTTAAGTACAGTTGAGAACTCTGTTATTTCATATTAAAATGGTTCACTCATTTTCTTTTCCTCTTCCCTTTAGCCTCCCAGAAGTCTAGCTCAGTTGGCCTAGGTAAGTAGCTTGGAAACAGTTTTGTTGGCCAGATCTTTAGCTTCAGTGGCCTCCGTGCTGCTATTTCCCTCTGCTTCCTAGAGGAGAAAGGCTGCCGCTTTCAGCCGAGGTGCAAACAGTAACAGTGGATGCTGTTCTTCTCTTGCAGGCATTGCAGCTGCAGTGGTTTTGCTCTTCCTGGGTGTGGGCATTATCTGGAAGGTTATTTCAAAGCAGAGGCAAGGGTAAGCAACGTTCTGCACATTCATTTCCTTTGCTCTCAAGTCCCAAATTGTACACAGGCAAAACACCTAAATGAATTATTTGTGCCTTGATCCTGTACTTGTATATCTTTAAAGTACAAACTGCACAAAGCCCAACAACCTGTTATCAACTGTGTGGTTATGTTGTTTTACTTCCAAAGAAAATGCATGTGAGAGTTCTTCTACAAACAAACATAACCTGCTGTTTTTACTTGCTTCTCTATCTCCTAGCTATTATCATACATATGAAAACTATGGGTGCCATACCCCTGAGGACCATATAACGGAACAGAAGCCTTTGTGTGTTCCATAGCAGGTATGGATTTATATTCCTCAATATAAAACATCAGTTATAGGTGCCTAGCTGTGTTGTTCTAATATAGTTATTCAAGCAAAATTCAATCATTCAAGTTTAACTGACAAGTGAATCTACTTTCTATCTGGAATGTGCACTGCAGATAAGCTGCACAGTTACCAGCATGCTGAACATAACCTCCTTTGACTACAAAATGTAAACATTAGCTCTTTTCTCCTTTTTATTTGTAGAGATTGTTTGGAGAAAGTCGCTGTCACTGAAGCAGAAACTATTCTCTCCTCACTCCCTAAGCATGAATCGTGATAAAACTTCTAGGCATTAATGCAAAACAAAGGCAGTTTGGTTTCCTTTTAACACCAGCCTTTTTGCCTTTTTCCAGGCAGGAGGCTGTGGCCTGCCCTGACTCCTTCTCCATGCAAAAGAAACCAGCAGCCGGTTCCATGGAAGCTTTGGTCCCTTCGAGACTGAAATTCTGTAGCAAAAAAGGCACTTTACCCCAAGACTGAAATTACTGCTGCTTCTGCTTCCATTAACTACACTGCTGTAAGGGCCTAGCCAAGGTCCAATGGTGCACAGTATAAATGCTCTGTTAGAGACTCCTATCTGCACTCATGCTGTCTGATGAGGAACATTTCCTTTATTTTCAAACTCCCAGGATGAGCAAGATGCACTGAACCATTGTGCCTTAGCAGGGGAAGGAAGAATTCATTGCACAATCAGAAGATTTTTACAATTTTGCCTGAAAACAGATAGAAATAAACAATCCCACAGATGTTCTATGCTTGGTTAGTGAATGTGAATCATGCCTCTAAAACTTGAGTTCTTGTTCCACACGGTCATTACAAGCCAGCTGCTCCCAAGCACAGGGATTTGGGTTTTATATCTTTTCCTTCTCCTTTCCCTGGAAAAGGAGTCACTTCAGGATGCAGGTTATCTCCAACGCTGCCTGCTGTGGCAGCGAGCTCAGGCCCTGTCCCCCTGCTGCCACTGCTCCCCTCCTTCAGAAACACTCATTTCTAGGGTATTTAACCCAATAAAAGCAGAACTTGACGCAGTGCTTTGGGTTGCTTGTGTCGCTGAAGCTCTGCGGTCGTATTTTAACACGGCCTGGCGCAGGACCCCGGGCTTTTTGGGGCAGATACACCGATTTTGAGGTGTTTGCTCCTTCCCGCCAAAGGCGGCGGCGGCGGCAGAGGAAATGGCGGCCGCGCGGCGCGGCGGGAAGGGGGCGGCGCCTCCTTCTGCCCCGATTTTGCTGTTTTTTGAAGAAAAGCTGAGGCGAAGCGAGGCCGGGGGGCGACGGGGCGCGGTCCCGGGGGCCTCCGCGCCTCCATGTGCGCTTTGGAAGCGGCCCCGAAGGGGGTGCACGGGGGTTCGGGTGAATTTGGGTTTATTTTATCGTCGGGGCCGAGGCTGGAAGGAGGCGCCCTGACCAGGCGGGAGGAACTTGAGCAAATGTGTGAGTAACCAGCGCTGGAGCTGGCCTTTGGATGCAAAAAAAATACAAACTGAAAATAAAATTAAAAAACCCCACATATATAGCTATGCATGAGTAGCCTTCATTACAGCTGCCCGTTGGATGCAGGTAAAATATAAACGAAATATATATATAGTCATAGAAATATATATAGTATATACATATGTCTGTATATATGTGAGTAACCTGTTTTAGAGTTGGCTTTTGCTTGTGATTAAGGTATAAACATATATATGTGTGTGTATATATATATCTGTATATTATATGAATATATACATTACATACAGAATATGTATGTATACGTGTATAATATATAATAGTTCTGTCCGTTAACATCCCTTTTTTGACGTGTTGATGCATCCTTACAGCCTTGAGGACCGACCCGGCTCCCGCGCCGTCGCGCTGCGGCGCGTCCCTTCTCGTGTCGGTGGTTACTGACTGCTTTGTGCTCCCTCTTACCCGCAGGAGCGTGTGATCCTCCGGAGAGGCTTCACTACGCGGAGCTCCTGGAAAGCTTCCAAAACATGCAGACTTTTCCGTCTGGGACCACGGTCACGTACAGGTGCCGCCCGGGATACAGGAGGGTCCCTGGAAAGTCGTTTACTCGGACTTGCACGGACTCGCAGTGGTCACAAACAGAGCCCTTCTGTACAGGTAGTGCACGCTTGTGGCTCTTCTGCCTTCTAGCTGGCAATTTCAGTTATTTCCTGGGTAGAAATAATGTTTTCTACTAACTTCTATAAAAACCCCTTAATTGTTGCTTTAATTTTTCCGTAGTTATCACTGGAAAAATCATGGAGGTATCTTTTGAGAGTTCTTTTAAATGCTTGCAGAGAGCTCCTCCAAACAGATGTCTCCTGTGGTAAATTTGTGATTTGAAGACTGACTTTAAGGGCAGTTGATGCCAAAGATTCATTCTCTATATATAACTGTGGAAGATATAAGGTTCTTTTTTTTTTTCCCTTTTTTTTTTCCACAGAGAAAATATGTGATCGTCCAGAAGACATAGAACATGGCGCATTTCATATATATGATCGTAAACTTGGTTCAAATGTTACTTTTTCATGCGAAGAAGGGTAAGGATTTTTTGGAAGTGAATTAATATTCTTTCTTTTTTCTGTTTAGACTAGATTGAAATGAAATGTGAACTTTATTATGCAGAACCCATTTCCATTCTGACTTGAAACGCCTCCTGAATTCTACCTGGAACAAATAAACCGCAAAAAAAAATGAATTAGTTCCCTGGTTCAGCTTGCTGGTAGCATCAACTACGGATTAAGGTTTTTTTAGTAGAATTCTGCAGAGTGAAACCTGTAGTGTTCTCTCTAATGACTTTTTTTGATGCTTCTATGGAAGGGGAAATGATATATCAACAGTGCTTGATTATGATATGGAATAATAACTCATCTGTCCCTGTTCTATAACAAATGAAGTCAAAAGTGCTAAGCCTTAGTCAGGCTCTATTTTCTCTTTCTTTTAACAGCTTTTTTGTTTAATACTAGTAACTTTAAAGTATTTGTGATTAGTGGGTACAGACCTTAAAACCACAAGAGCACTTGCCATCTCTGTAACGATTTCTCATGGTTAAGAAACCATTCTCATTTAAAAAAAGCTATGTTGTGCCCCCATTTTGGTAGAAGAAAATTTATATAAACAAAGCTTCTAGCTGCCTGGTGCAGTAATAAGTGATTTCTCACGTTGCATCCCTTTAAAATTTTCATGTCTAGGTACCGGTTACGTGGAGCTAGAGAGATTTTCTGTGTAATTAAAGGTACAGGTGTTGCCTGGAGTGACAATCTTCCTTTCTGTGAACGTGAGTAAATACTCCCATGTTTAAGTTCAAGATTCAGATGAATATAAACTTAAAAACAGTTGTACAGACTGCACAGTAAAATGAATTTGCTATTATAGAGATGATTATGAAATGGGACCAGTTTTTATTTTGAGCTACTGAGGTTGTGCATCTGAAGAATGACTGCTGAAAAACTGCAGTCATTGGGATAATTAGTGTGTGGGGGTTAAAGTCAAAGACTTCTTGGAATTGCAACTTGCTATTCTAAGTGACCACAGTTAACAATTTGTTCTGCCTGTAGCCTGTGTTAGAAATGGCTTTATACTAGATTTTAAATGAAATTACTTGAAAATCAAGGATTGATTTTATTTTTTTTCTCCTCTCTTGAGGTAAGTAACAGCAAAATTCCGTCAACTAATTTATTTGATTTATTTCTAGAAATTCCTTGTGAACCACCTCCAAGTATAGCCAATGGGGCCTATGATGAAAGAGAGAGCTACGTTTATCAAACAGCAGTAACCTATCGGTGTAATGATGTACCCAAAGGCATGGATCGCTTCTCCCTAATTGGCTCAGATTCTATTTTCTGCACATACGATGAAAACAAAAATGGAGTTTGGAGTGGACCACCTCCAGAATGTAGAGGTTGCTATTATTATTTTTTTGATATATTTTCTCTGTTGTAATTTTGTGACTCAAATTTGAATGTCCCTTTCCTGAAGGTAGGGGTGGGTGTGTGAGAAATGGAAAAGAAGGAACAGATCCTCTGCTGCTATTAATCGATGTAACTCCAGTGGTAATCAGATCAGCTGCATTACGCGTGCAAATTGATTGTTTCACAAAATGTGAATGACAGAAATTAGAACTCAAATTGTAGGAATACAATTGATAGAAGTGACAAGAACAAAGTGAAAGGACCAAAAGACTGTAAAACCTTGAGCAGCTGAAGAAAAAATTGAGAGAAAGAAAGTGAGTTCCATCATAGATAGTGAAGAGAGAAGGAAGAACTCTTGTGCTCAGCCAGGCCTGAAAAACATAAAGCCTGTGCTTTGTACGTGAAAAAAATCTTAAACTTTTTTATAACGCTTGTCCAAAATTGTTTGAGTGATTAGATTTAAAAGAAAAACAACTAATGAGTAAGAGAATACAATGTCTAATGGTGCTGTTAACAAATGCTTCAAAGCTATATTTTTCTCTTACCTGTTTCAGTGGTCAAATGTGGTAACCTGGAAGTTGAGCATGGAAAAAAAATTACTGGATTTGGGCCTTCCTACAGCTATAAGGACTCTATTACATTTGAGTGTGACCCAGGCTATTCTATGGTTGGAAGTCAGACAGTTAGCTGCCTAGAGGATAGCACCTGGCACCCCCCAAAACCAGCTTGTGTAAAAAGTAAGTCTTTAAATAGAACCTGACTCCTTGTATGTGGAGAGTGCTGTTAGTCTGTTGCTTTTAAAATTTTCCATTACTACTCTGTGGTTCGAAATCTGAAGGAAAAGGAGTTGATGCAGAGTCTGACACACAGGCAGCTGTTCCGGGTATTGTGATGATTCTTCCTAGTGTGACTTTACAGGTGAGAATGAATTGGGTTCCAGACATGCACATCAAACCCGGGTCATGGGCACACTGCAGTTAGTGTTGCTCCTTTGTTCTAGTCATTTCATACAGAAATACAAGACAAAAATGAGTGTTGCTCCTTTCTGATAGAAAGGATTAAGGTTGTGCCCAATGTGGAGAAATCTGTAGTGTCCTCCCAGAGCAATGTACATTGTTACAGTTACGTATCAATTCTCTCTTAACCAAGTCTTGAAGCAATGTTTTCTCATAAAAAGGCTGAGTGACTTAACGTATTATAGAACATTCAAGTTTATTATCCCTCTAACTACCTTTGAAAATCTCTGAAGCAATGTTTTCTCATAAAAAGGCTAAGTGACTTAAGCTTTAATGTTTTATAACACGTTATTATCCCTCTAACTACCTTTAAAAATCTTTGTCAGGCCCTGAAGATGGATGTGCTGCCCCAGAGATCACAGGTGGAAAACTAATTCCACTGAAAACTAAATATAGCAAAGGAGAGTCTGTTGAGATAAAATGCGATGCTCAGTGCACTCTTCCTGATGGCACTGCAGAGACGACAGCAATGTGTGAAGGACGTGAAATGTGGAGTTTGTTGCAAAACTGCACATGTGAGTAGGAAGGAATTCCAGGCAGATGGAGTGTCTGAAAGTTAGACCCTGTCAATGTGCCTAGATAGGAAGAATCAGCTTCTAACAGGCTGAGAGTGTTTTGGGTGGGATTTCAGTAATTGAGAGGAGTTTGGGGGATACTTGTCCCCTCTTGTCTTAGATTTGTTTAAAGAAAATGGTAAAAGTTGATGGGTAGCATGAAATGCTGTTGAGAGAGTGTTCTCAAAGGTCTTCCTGTGACAGTGACGGGCTTTAGAGCAACCCCCCTTTGCACCACAGGAGCACTGGCTGCTTGCAGCATAACAGTAATGTTGTTGTTACTGTGCTGCAGCTGTTGGTTCTGAGGAAGTTGAGACATGTTTTTCTGTTGATGTGTGAAACATCCATCGACAGAAGTATCTGCAGCCACTGGGAAGCAGGAAACATTTTGATATAAGGAGTCTGCAAGGTTGACTAAGCTCCATGTTTGGATTTCATTCTTCTTCTTTTTCAGGTGGGGCTGTAGTTCCCCCTCCGTACATCCCTTATGGTAGGATAATTTCTGGATTAAAACCTTCATATTCTGTAGGGGATGTTATTACGATTGAATGTTATGCGGGCTACACGTTGCATGGTGAAGCTAATATTCGGTATGCTGGAGAAAACATGTGGATACCTGAACCACCCACTTGCGGCTTAAGTAAGTATGAACTGCACGAATTTCCATTGGAATTAAAAACGCATGTAATAGATGGGACGTATTGTTGTGTTTAGGAGAAGTAATTTAATGCAAACTTCTCCGTTTGTTTTGACTTGAGGAAAAAGAGTTTTTGGTAAACTCCATTTAAGAACAGGAATATTGTAAGCTGTAGCAGATGTTATGATATAAACTGGCCTGCTACAAAGCTTGTCTTGGCAAAAGGGCCTGATCTGTTTGAAATAACCCCGGGTGTATATTTATATGTTTGAATGAGAAGCACATGTTCCACTTGTGATACTGATTTACTCTGTTTTTAGGTGTGTATGTTATCGTCATCATCTGTGGTAAGTATCTTGTGAACACTGAGCAAGATATTTTGCATATTTTGGCTGGAAGGGGAGGGTGCTGAATAGACTGACAGGAGGGTGAAAATACTGCTATTTTGCTGTTTTTTGAGGGTCTTTTTTGTGAGATATAGTGGTGATCTTTATCATTCTAAGCCTTTTAAAATTTTTTTCCTCAAGCAATTGTGGCAATTCTAGTGTCGCTGGCAGTCTTCTGGGTCTATAAGAAGTTCCTCTCTCAAAAAGGGTGAGTAAACCTCATTATGTTTTGTTTTGTTTGTTCGTTTTTTTGCCAATTTCTGTGTGACTGTGCAAGAGCCAACAAGTATGTAAGTTTTTCAAGCCTTACATGCCTTTTCTGCTTAAAATGCTCTGCAATAATACGTGAGCTTATCACAGCAGCTGGTGGAAAGCTAAGTGCTTAACTATGTGTTTGGCTTTATTTTTGTATCTGTTGTTCAGGTGAACTGCTAATTAATGCTTGTGCTAATTTCAAGGAAAATAACATCCTTCATGCTTACGCTTGACATAGGGGTGCTTAACTGTGAAAGAAATGTGTGTTTGCTCTGAAATGTGCCAGTTCCCATCATAGAAGCAGTGTAGTGTTGGCTTGTGTGAGCTTCAGCTGTTTGTTCGGTTTTTTTTTATTTTTCTTTCTGAATAATTTCTGGAATCACTTAGGAAAAGTCTCCATAGGTTTTAAGAGGCAGGGTGGTGATTTAAATAAACGGGAAGTGCCAGGAGTGAAGAGTTTCCTCTCTTCTCTGGAAAATGCAGCAGGGACAGCGGAGGGGGTGCCCGAAGAATCAGTGTGTTCATCTTTTCTACCAGCAGGAGCTTGCAGAAAATCCTACGGGCTTATTTAAAGGAAAAGGCCCTGTAAGCAGCGTGTGCGAGGCTGTATACTTCTGTGCTGCTGCATTTGCTTTTAATCTGTAGCCTGGATAATCTGCAGCCTGGAGAGCCAGGGTGTGAGTGTTGGGAGCTGACTGTAGCATCAGGCGCTTTCTGCCTTCGTGGGGGGACAGAGCTGGGGTGCAGAGAGGAGGCGAGGTGTAACCCAGTGGTGCTAACGATCATCCAGCGTCGTATTCCTGACAATTCACTGAGGAAAAGCCTTGCTGCACCCAGTGCTCTCCTTTAGCTTCCGTGCTAGGAGCATCTGAAAGTAGATTGGGCTTGCGGACAAGGAAAATACTTCGATCTGCTTTTACTAAGGCCTAAATCTCACCATTTATTGCTGTGATTCCTGAATTACCTGAGCCTTTACAGCCATTGTGCTGATACTGGCCAGATTGCAGTTTTCACATTGCAGCAAAAGTCTTTCTTTGCCCGCTCTTTTCTTTTGTGTTTAATCTACCATTTTTATAGAATATTCAATTAGATCTTTTTCCCCCTTCTGCTGTTCAGCTCGTATACAGTTGATGAATTTTGCAAGGAAACATGTATTTTAAAAACTAATGTTCCATCTGAGACGGAAGACTCTGCACAAATGAATTAATTGAATCTTAAAAAGGTATATGCATTCCACTTAATTTGGACATTTGCAATGATGCTTTAGTGTCTGTTTTTTTTAGTGTACTCTGGATTTCAGGGGAAGTGTGGAATCTAACTAGCTGTGAACAGCAGTTCCCTACGGAAAAGGTTGTAATAGCTATGCCTGTTCTTCCATGGACAGTTATTCTAGGGGAGTAGTGGGTGTTACCCTTACACAAAGAATTGTCATTTAGTACCTCAAATGATAGCTTTGAGTGACTGCCCATATCGCATCTTAGCTTTGAGTTGCCTTTAAAAATGAGTAACTGATGCATTTTTAACTTTCTAAGAAAAATAAATGAAGATGCAAACCAGGTCTCATAAACCTTGGTATAAAAAGCTGATTTGTTTTTCAAATTTGGAGTTCCGTAGTCCTAGAAAGAGCCAAAAAGCAGCACAGATGTATGAGCCTAGTATTGTGTTAAACAGTGTAGGTGCTATCGTGTTAGATTTTTTTTCGTTACTGCCTTAATGGTCTGAGCTTGTGCAGTAGTTGTGATATCTTTGTGTTGCTTTTTGCCATTCCACAAATTGTGAGGAGGTAATTGTTGAAATGTTAGGTCTCTTACTGGGAATTAATGCAAAGGTCTTTAAATGCATAGTCTTGTTTTTTATTTTAAAATTAATTGACCTTTTGCTAAGTTTGAGCTGGCATATATAACACAGACACGCACACGGCCCGTAATTCCGGACTATTGAGTAATTCAAGGATTTGCAAATGTATGGTGTACGTAGTCATGGATATAACTAAAAATTTGAATCCTCGTTTGTTTAAATATTGTAAATTCAGTCTTAGTGGACTTCAGAATCAAAAGTCTCACAAACTACTAGCTAGTATTGAGACTGTAACGCAGTCCAGATGAATCAGGAGGCCTGGGCCTGTCCAGTCTGTGTTCAGTTTCTGCTAATACTCCAGCACAGTTTGTTCATCGCTTGAAACGATCCGTTTGGATCGGGTGCTGATTTGGGCCTTGGGTCTTGCTTTTTAGCAGTCTAGGGCATGAAATATCTCAAGTCTCCTGAGCCTGGTGGTTGCTTTATATGCTGAGGAGGAATGATGGTCTCTCATGGCCTTAACTGCTGGCTTAATAATAAAGCTGAGGATGTGCTTTCAGAATAAATGTAAAAAGTATTTAAATATAAAATCTCTGATTTGACTTGTTTTTTTGTTTGTAGGAAACGTGACAGCACTCCATGTACTGCCAAATATACGAGCTGTAAAGCATGAATGGCCTTTCCTGGGGGCGGGAGGGAGTTTGGAGTTAAACATGCCTGTCAGAAACGAAACCATTGCACTCGCGTTGAGCTTCTGCAGGGGAATGCCTTCTACTCCTGCCCTTGAAAACATTGTTACACACATTCTGCAGTAGGGGATTGTTATTAGGAAAAAAAGTCTGTGCTTTTCTTTATGGATTACTCCTCTTGTCTCTTATGTGTGTGAAATTGCCTTTGAAAAGACAGGACTGTGTCTGCATCGGCACCGCTGTCGCGGCCCAGCTGCTGCCGCCCTCCCTCTTGCCTCTTTCCTTGCAGAAAGCTCTGCTCCTTAACGTGCTTCTAGTTTGCAGTTGAGGGGATGTAAATGATGATGTGTGTTGTGTTCATGTTACAATTATTTATTTGCTTAAGAGATTGGTACCGTTTCAGGCTCCTTTATTCAAAATTTCTTAGTTTAGCTTTTGGATGCACTACCTCGTTGTTTGCCAAAGTTTGCTTCTTTGTATCTAATGAATTAAATGGTGCCTTTGAATCAGACTTCTGTAGTTTCTCTGTTGCCTTTAAGAAGGAAGCAAGCCATATATGTATTTCTGGCCCTGCTGGAATAGGAAAGGGAAGACTTTCTAGCAAGATTATCCCCTACCTTCAGATTTGGAGGCCTCTTGATAGAAAGTATTTAAAAGACGTGCTGAGAAACCCAGGGCAGCCCCCTTTCGTTGGGAGCAAAATGGCATTCACTAGGATGCAGGCTTGGCTTTTATTTAGCATTGCTGGCAAATTCAGAGATAATTATGTTGCTTCTTAGGGTACGAAGGTTGCTGTATCCACCTAGCTTCCTTGCCTTTTTTTTTCCTGCCTTAAAATCATATATACACATAGAATATTTCGAATCTCTGTATCCACACTGTTATGCCAAGTGTAAATCCATAGTCCAGGGTAATATGGATGTCTGTGTAGAAGCACGAGCCTTTCCCTGTCTGACTTCTAGCTTTTTGTCTTGAAGGAAGCCAAGCCAACCTAGTGGCAAGAGGGAAGGGTGGGAATGTCGCTCTTTGGATGGCTGGTTGCTTTAGGAAGCAGTTTTGTTGGATGGTGGCTCCAGGAGCTCCCATCACGGAAATAACCCGGGATTAAGACCTGGGCTTGCGCTGATAGCCATTTCTTTAACCGTCTGCATGTGATCTCTAATATAACTGACAACCAAATTAGGACAGCTTTTGGCTTAGTGAATCTCCGAGTTTGTTATCCAAGAACATACAGGCAATTTGCAAGAACCACCTTTCTCGGAAGGAACCACCTTTCTTTTTTCTCAGAAAAAAAAAAGGACCTAGTTCCCTCACTTCAGATGGCGGAGGGTTTAAACTGCTCGTGCTGGTCTGTGGCAGCTTGGCTCTTGTTCTCCACTGTTGTGAGCAGATTGTTCTGCAGTGGGAGACTATTTGGGGCTTTATAGGGCTCTTTGGGACAATCCCAGCAGTTGTATTGTTAGAGTTCATAATGGCCTCTGGCTATGAAAGAGGATTTTGGCTAAACACAGCGACTTGTTGTTTAGTGCCTTTTCAGTGGCTGATGTATAGTTTGGTAATGATTTGTTGTTTGTA